GTTGGGCTTACCCCATGTCTTAGAATTCAAATTATTGACATGGAGGACCAACTGCTTTTTCATTTCACACTTGAGCACCCTTTTTCGATACACGAGCGCACAACACAGCATAAGAGGAGTCATCAATACCACATGAATCAACGGTCCTAAATCCACTAGTTCACAAAATCAACCGGCATAGTGACTCGCTCCTACAGTCACTCTAGGAAATAGCCAACTGTAACCACTTCCTAAAGCGTAGTATAGCGGGTTTGGGTTTTAATGTCAACCCGGGTCCTAATGTGATGACTACTCCGTGAGTTCTTATTATTTAGCAGTGAAACTTTAATGCAGGTCCAAACAAGCAAACAAGCAAACAATTAAACAGTTGTTTCCAAGTCGAGAGAGGTCACCTGGATATGGTTCCCCCTAGTCTACAGTTAAGCCAGATTGTAATTTACCAAGTTCAATTTCAATGATAGTTATACTGCCGGGGGTTCCTAAACAGTCTGAAGTCTCGACTAAAGGTCTCCGGACCCTCTCCATCTGAGTCTCCAGCGGGCGACTAACCTCCACCAGAGTAAACAGATTGAGGCCCTAACGAACCAAATCTCCACTACCGAAGTAAATTCGGCATAGAATAGTGAATTGCCTCCTCGACTAAAGTCGCCAATTCACTACCTTCAATCAAGGGTGCTCTATCAACCTAGGCAAAAATTCTCTTTCTAGGTTAAAGCAGAAACAACGGGAATTTGATCAGGATTCATGCCATTCAACAAATCAAACCTCAATTGAACATAATCATACCACTGAATCTGTACTTGGGTTCATACAATCAGACCTAACATACAAATCTAGGGTTCTTCATACCCGGCTGAATAAGAAAACTACTCCATAGAGAGAAATGAGAAATCTAGCTCAGTTGCGGAAACCATACTGTGAAGGATGATAGTCTGCTTCTGACACTCAATCAGGTCTTCTCCAAGCTCAAGCCGGGCTCCAATCGTGATGGAGATCGATCTATGACACTTGCAGAGTCAGGTTAGTCACTCTCTCTCCATAGGTATAGCTTTTTCTCTCTAAAACTTGGAACCCCCTCTCCTTTGCTGAAAATTGGGTTAAAACCCAAAAAATCCCGACTCACACGGCCATGTGACATCCCCAGCTGCCCGTGTGATATGTGCAAACCGCGGCGTTTTGATAAGTGACTCAGGATTCTTACTCGGCCACGACCCACACGGCCGTGTGGAATTCCAGGATTCCCATGTGAGTTCCCTGGAATTTCCACACGGCCACAGGGGGGTCCCCTACACGGCCCATGCGACTTTGCCCATGCAATTTGGTGCCACACGGCCGTGTAGGTTTTAGCGTGCCCGTGTGGCTCCATCAGCTTCACGCCACATGTCCAATCTTCGTCCACTCGACCCTGAGCTCGTCCCCAAACCTTCATTCACGTACTAGGACCTGAAATATCACAAACAAGAACAACCTAGCGTGAAATCAGCCTAAAACACGAGAATCGACATCTCAAACGGCTCAAGAATAGGGGTAAAAACATGTGTAATCAATGGTCTATCAAACTCCCCCACACTTAACCGTTTGCTTGTCCCCAAGCAAACCTAACTCAAACCAATGCAACTCTCCAGACCTCTATAGCAACAAACAACACCGATCGTCGGTAGAGGATTTTCTAGATCATATAGCAGCTTACGAGGTCAACTGGTTTTCTAAGACGTTCCCTGTCTCTCTCAATGCGAGTACTAGACTCAAGCCAGGATCATGAGAAGAAGTAGAAGTAAGACAGTCAGTTCATGGATTAAGGGACTCATACCATTCACAACCAAGGACTCGTTGTACCGGGGTACTCTTTCACTTCATTTCACCTTTGGAACCCCTTTTTCACTTTCATTTTACTTCTTTTTCATTCATTTAGCGGGGGTTCCAACTGCAGTCTTTTGCACGGTCGATCCTTATTAGTCGAGCAAGAGCAATTTCTTCCAAAACCCGATTTTGTGAAATGAATGGTGCCGCACACTTTGGGCTTACCCCATGTTTAAGACTTAATGATTTTGACATGGATGACCAACTGCATTTCATTTTTCACATGAGCACCCTGTTCGATACACGGGTCCATAACACAATCCAAATAGAGTCACCATTATCACATGAATTCAATGGTCTTATCTCCACTAATTCACAAAACAACTGGCATAGCAGAGAGCTAGATAGGAAAAATCTTATACTTCAACATGCTCCATAGTGCTACACTACCTCTCTAGGTTGCACATTACTATAGAGACTGTCAATTCAAAGCGTACTGAGCAGGCAATTTGCAAGGAAACACGTACTTGGAGCCCTCAAATTAAAAAATTTGGACAGTGGACTAGGCTCCAAGCACACAAACAAATCTAATGCAGTCAAAAGAGAAACATCCCCCCACACTTAAGATCGACATTGCCCTCAATGGAGAAGAGGGAAGGATAAAGGGGAATGATGTTACCGGTGTGCACGGACTACATGAGATTGGAAGCGGACCCGTCTGAGTGAAGAGGACTGGAGAGGGGACCAGTCAGGGACAAAGCACAGCTAAAGGGAACAGAAGAACTCAAACACAATATGTTAGGTCCAATGGTCAGCCTAATAATACATCATCCAAAACAAAAGAAAACAAACCAAAACCAAACCAGTTTACAATCCGACCCAAAACAAAAGAAATAAATGTAAACCGCAATGGGGTTGCCTCCCCACAAGCGCTTCTTTACCGTCTTTTAGCTGGACGCCCATGACGGAACTAAGGGTCCGCGAGTTCCACTGCCAACTGCGCACGTTCGACCTCGTCTCCCAAGTAGAGCTTGAGACGATGGCCATTTACTTTAAACGGTTCAATCTGCGGGGTGGCAATTCCAATCGTGCCATACGGGAACACCTGTGTGACCGTGAACGGTCCAGACCACCGGGAACGGAGTTTTCCGGGAAAGAGCTTCAGGCGAGAGTTATAGAGGAGAACTCGATCACCAACCTGGAACTCTTTCGGACCCCACAACCGTGCATCGTGCAGGTGCTTAGTGCGCTCCTTGTACAGCTTGGTGTTCTCATAGGGGTGATAACGCCATTCCTCCAGCTCCAGCATCTGCATTTTTCACTCAACACCTGCAACACTAACATCCAAGTTGAGCAGCTTAAGGGCCCAAAAGGCCTTGTGCTCTAGCTCCACGGGCAAATGGCATGCCTTTCCATAGACAAGCCGGTACGGGGAGGTACCAATGGGTGTCTTGTAGGCAGTGCGGTATGCCCAGAGAGCATCATCAAGCTTGGTGGACCAATCCTTGCATGATTGATCCACCGTCTTCTCCAGGATACGCTTGAGCTCCCGGTTCGTCAGCTCGGCCTGGCCACTTGTTTGAGGGTGATAGGCCACGGACACCTTATGAGTCACACCATAGCGAGACAATAGCTTATCAAACTGGCCCTGGAAATGGGTGCCTCGATCGCTTATGATGGCTCTAGGTGTCCCGAACTGGGAGAATAGCTGCTTCAGAAAACCACAAACACGTCTAGCCTCATTAGTGGGCAAAGCTTGCGCCTCGGCTCACCTAGGTATTACCAAAAGATGGAGGGAAGGGGCCCATAAAGTCGATACCCCAGACATCAAAAATCTCACCAATTATAAACACATTCTGGGGCATCTCATCACGGGTAGAGATGTTACCTGACCTCTGGCATCGGTCGCACTTGCGTGCGAAGGTGTCTGCGTCCTTGAAGAGCGTGGGCCAATAAAAGCCCGACTGTAGCACCTTCCTCGCTGTGCGGTTTCCTCTGTGGTGACCGCCAATAGGTCCTTCATGATAGTGAGATATAATGCCCTCCATCTCACTCTCCATAACACAACGATGGATGATTTCATCGGCTCCGATCGTGAAGAGATGAGGGTCATCCCAGAAGTAGTGCTTCAGGTCGGAGAAAAATTTCCTCTTGGTGTGAGTTGTCATCCCCTTGGGCAGCCGTTGGCCCACTAGATAGTTTGCAAAATCGGAGTACCACGGGGTGACACTCTCCACTAGGTACATCATCATCAGTCTCTCATCTGGGAAGGAGTCGTTGATCTCCTCCTCGAGATTGTCCGCAGGAGGTGCGTCCAACCGGGAGAGGTGATCAGCTGCAACATTCTCCGCTCCCTTCTTGTCCCGTATCTCGATGTCGAACTCCTACAATAATAAGATCCATCGTATGAGCCGAGGCTTGGCATCGGCCTTGCTCATTAGGTATCGAATCGCGGAGTGATCTGTATGCACGGTCACATGGGACAGAACCAGATAATGATGAAATTTGTCGAAGGCAAACACCACCGCTAGCAGCTCCTTCTCTGTGGTGGTGTAGTTCTCCTAGGCATCATTCAGGGTATTCGAGGCGTAGTAGAGAGGTCAGAAGTGTTGATCTCGCCTCTGCCCCAAGACAGCTCCAACAGCAAAGTCACTGGCATCGCACATCAGCTCAAATGGCAGGGACCAGTCAGGAACAACCATGATAGGAGCTTGGGTGAGCTTCTCCTTCAAGGTCGTGAATGCCGCTGTGCATGCAGCAGTGAACTGGAAGGGGGCATCCTTCTCAAGAAGCTTAGTCAGGGGCAAGGCGATCTTCGAAAAATCCTTGATGAACCGCCTGTAGAACCCTGCATGGCCTAAAAAACTCTGGATCCCCTTAACAGATGTAGGAGGAGGCAGCTTGCTGATAGTCTCAATCTTTGCTTTGTCCACCTCAATCCCCATCTTGGAGATCTTATGCCCCGGCACTATGCCTTCACGAACCATGAAGTGGCACTTCTTCCAACTCAGTGCCAGGTTCGTTTCTTCACACCGTTTAAGGACGAGTTCCAGGTTATGGAGACAGTGAGAGAATGAGTCTCCATAAACCGAGAAGTCGTCCATAAACACCTCCATAATCTCGCCAAACAGACGGTCAAAGATGGCGAGCATGCATCGCTGAAAAGTGGTTGGGGCATTGCACAGCCCGAATGGGATCCTCTAGTAGGCAAATTTGCCGAAAGGGCAGGTGAAAGTGGTCTTTGCATGGTCCTCCAGTGCAATGGGGATCTGGAAGTACCCGGACATCCCATCCAAGAAACAATAGAACTCGTGCCCCGCCAGTCTCTCCAGCATCTGGTCTATGAAAGGCAGCGGGAAGTGGTCCTTCCGAGTGGCGTCATTGAGATGGCGATAATCAATGCAAACATGGTACCCAGTCACCATGCGCATCGGGATGAGCTCATTCTTCCCGTTATGCACCACGGTCATCCCATCCTTTTTGGGTACCACCTGGGTGGGACTGACCCACTCGCTGTAGAAAATGGCGAAGATGATCCCCGCGTCCATCAGCTTCACGATCTCTGCCCGAACCACAGCCTCCAGGTTTGGTGTCAGTCTTCTCTGCGGCTGTCTCACTGGCCGCATCTCATCCTCTAGCAGTATCCGGTGGGAGCAAAAGGAGGGGTTGATCCCCTAGATATCTGTGATCTTCCACGCTAGAGCACGCTCGTGAAGCTTCAGCAAGGCCACCAGTCTGTCCTTCTGCTCGGGTGTGAGGGTCGAGCTGATGATGACTGGAAGCTTATTCCCCTCCTGGAGAAATGCATACTCCAAATGAGGAGGGAGGGGCTTTAGCTCTAGCTCTGGTGGTTCCACCAAGGAGGTAGTGATGCGGGGTGAGGATGAGATCGGTTTGAACAGCCTGTCGCCCTCCAGGAAGGGGCCACTCTCCAGCGCGGCCAACTGCTCTGCCAGCTGCGGCTCCTGTGATGCCTGCTCACCTAGGAAAATACAACGCTCAAGAGCATCGTTAGTACCCGCACTTGTTATAGCGAGTGCGGTCTCAAAATCAGCAAGCATATCATAGTAATCTACATCATCATGCAAATGGGAGTGTTTCCCATTCTCATACACATAAAAAGTAGCATGTTCATCACCAGCACGCAGGATCAATTCACCACTATGCACATCAATAAGCGCCTTGGCGGTGGCGAGAAACATTCTACCCAAAATCAAAGGTACATCCACATCCTCATTTATATCCAGAATAACAAAGTCAACAGGATATGTGAATGCACCTACATTAACAAGCAGATCCTCAATGATACCCCTAGGATGCACGATGGAATGATCAGCTAACTGAATGCTCATCCTAGTAGCTCTAGGTTCACCTAGGTCTAGCTTTTTAAACAATTTGTAGGACATGACATTTATGCTAGTGCCTAGGTCCGCCAAGGACTTTCCTACATGCATGCTGCAAATAACAAGAGGGATAGTGAAACTCCCTGGGTTTTTACGCTTCTCGGGCAGCTTGTTCTGCAGGATAGCAGAACACACCTCGCTCAGCATCACTGTCGAAAGATCCCCAAGTTTCTTCTTGTTGGTGAGGAGGTCTTTCATGAACTTGGCATACTTGGGCATCTTCGACAGTGCCTCCACGAACGGCGTACTGATGTTGACCTGCTTCAACATTGCCATGAACTTGGCAAACTCAGTCTCCAGCTTGTCTTTATGTAGGCGAGTGGGGAAAGGAAGCTGGGGTACATGCTCCTTAACCACTTGCTGTGGCTTGAGAGTAGGTGCTTCCTTGTCCCCCCCCCCCCACTTCTGCATTGCCAGCTAGAAGTATTGAAACAGGTAGTGGTTCATCCTGCCTGGGCTGGGCAGGAGCAGCCGATGTGGTCTTGCCGCTCTTGGTAGTGATGGCATCCAGCTGCTCGTGCTGGTGAGGCTCACGAGGGTTCAGAATAGTGGTGGCAGGCAGAGTCCCCGGTGCCTGGTAGTGTTTTGGCGAGCTATGCCACTAATCTGATTCTGTAGATCTTGCAAAGTGGCACCTTGGTTTCTCTGGCCTGCCTCCAGTGAGGCTATGTTCTGATCCAGCCTCGTGAAATTTGCCTGGCTGGTGGTCATGAATGCCTGCAAAATATTTTCAGCTCCGTCATCTTATTATCTGGAGATGTAGCTGCTGGAGGCTAGTCATACTAACGATGGGGCTGCTGGAATGGCTGCCCCTGCCTAGGCTGGTAAGGCTGCTGCTGTGGGGGCGGGCCCTGTCTAGCCTGGAAAGTCTGCCTCTGCTGAAAACCACCAGCTGGTGCTGGGAAACTAGGTGGTTTAGTGGTGTTATTGTTCCAAGCGAAGTTGGGATGCTGGCGCCACCCCTCATTGTATGTATTCCTGTATGGGTCAAGGCTCCGAGCATTGGCGATGAAGTCCAACTGCTCTTTGGGAGTAGAGGACTCCCGCATATTCTGGCATTCTTCTACCAGATGGTTCGAGGTCTCACACCACTGACATTGAGCTACTAGAGGTACCGCCAAACCTCTACCCGGAATAAGACTGTTGGGCTGCTTCAATGTCTGCACTAACTCAGCCACCTGATGCTCGATCCCAGACCTGGCCTCCATGGCGTGCACACCACGGTCCCGGGAATTCCTGCCTGTGCTGCTCTGCCCCCAGGAATGATCTCTGGTAGCCAATGTACTGATCATCTGGTTCAGTTCGGGTGGAGTCTTAGTAAGAATATCCCCTCCTGGGCATAGAGACTCAATCACCCTCTGGCTTTCCGGAGAGAGAGCACTATAAAAGTTCCCCACTGTGAATGCATTACTAAAGCCATGATGGGGACACTGCCAGAAAATCCCATGTCCCGCTCCCATGCATCACGAAGTGACTCGTCTGGCTCCTGGCGGAAGTGAGTGATCTCCCGCTGAATTTCTGTGGTCTTTGATGCCGGATAGTACCTGTGTACAAACTTTTCGGCCAGATCGTCCCAAGAAGTGATGGACAATGGGGGCTAGGTCTCCAACCACCTCTTAGCATGCCCCGCCAGAGAATGGGGAAAGAGGTGAAGGCGAATTGCATCATCAGGGACACCGTTCAGCTTGAACCCGTTCGTCAGCTGCAAGAAACGAGACAGGTGCACCCTTGCCTTCTCATCCTTCAAGCCATAAAACTGGACAGATGATGTAATGAGTTGAATCCAGGATGGCTTGATCTCGAAGTTGTTCGCTGGATGGGCGGGTAGAGGATGACAGGCGGATATCAACAACCCGTGGAGGGTAGTAGTACTCCAAGGTGGGACCCGGCGGCGGTGGATGATGATGAACCCCATCTTCCTGGGGTATGGGGTTGTTCCCCAAGATCTGATTCACCAAGGGAACCTGGAGAGGATTCCCTTGGTGTGGGTTGTGTTCGCCATCCATCTCGTACTCTTCCTTAGAATTGTTGCTCAATTGGCCGTCTATGCGCTCCTCCGTAGCCAGTCTAGCTCGCTGTTGTCTCCTGAGTTGGCGACAGGTGCGTTCAAGCTCCGGATCCAACGGCAATAAACCTCCCGACTGGCTACGGGTCATGCACTACCTGTACAGAGTCAAGCAAGCAAACCCGTGAAGGCACAAGTGTGACAAAGCAAACAATGCTAAAACGAAAAGCTAAATTAACAGAATTCACGTTTCTTCAACAACCTAGCCGTCCCCGGCAACGGCGCCAAAAACTTGACTCGCTCCTACCGTCACTCTAGGAAATGGCCAAGTGTAACCAATTCCTAAAGCGTAGTATAGCGGGTTGGGGTTTTAATGTCAACCCGGGTCCTAGATGTGATGACTACTCCGTGATTTCTTATTATTTAGCAGTGAAACTTTAATGCAGGTCCAAACAAGCAAGCAATTAAATGGTTGTTTCCAAGTCGAGAGAGGTCACCCGGATATGGTTCCCCCTAGACTGCAATTAAGCCGGATTGTAATTTACCAAGTTCAATTTCAATGATAGTTATACTGCGGGAGGTTCCTAAACAGTCTGAAGTCTCGACTAAAGGTCTCTAGACCCTCTCAATCTGAGTCTCCAGCGGGCGACTAACCTCCACTGGAGTAACAAATTGAGGCCCTAACGAACCAAACCTCCACTACCGAAGTAAATTCGGTACAGAATAGTGAATTGCTTCCTCGACTAAAGTCGCCAATTCACTACCTTCAATCAAGGGTTCTCTATCAACCTAGGCAGATATTCTCTTTCTAGGTTAAAGCAGAAACAACGGGAATTTGATCAAGATTCATGCCATTCAACAAATCAAACCTCAATTGAACATAATCATACCACTGAATCTGTACTTGGGTTCATACAATCAGACCTAACATACAAATCTAGGGTTCTTCATACCCAGGTGAATAAGAAAACTACTCCATAGAGAGAGATGGAAAATCTAGCTCATATGCGGAAACCATACTGTGAAGGATGATAGTCTGCTTTTGACACTCAATCAGGTCTTCTCCAAGCTCAAGTCGGGCTCCAATGGTGATGGAGATCGATCTATGACACTTGCAGAGTCAGGTTCGTCACTCTCTCTCTCTCTAGGTATAGCTTTTTCTCTCTAAAACTCGGAACCCCCTCTCCTTTGCTGAAAATTGGGTTAAAACCCAAAAAATCCCGACTCACACGGCCAGGCCACACGGTCGTGTGTCATCCCCACCTGCCCGTGTGATATGTGCAAACCGCGGCGTTTTAATAAGTGACTCAGGCTTCCTACACGGCCACGACCCACACGCCGTGTGAAATTCCAGGATGCCCGTGTGAGTTCCCTCGAATTTCCACACGGCCACAGGGGGTCCCCTACACGGCCCGTGTGACTTTGCCCGTGCAATTTGGTGCCACACGGCCGTGTAGGTTTTAGGCGTGCCCATGTGGCTCCATCAGCTTCACGCCACATGTCCAATCTTCGTCCACTCGACCCCGAACTCGTCCCCAAACCTTCATTCACGTACTAGGAACTGAAATATCACAAACAAGAACAACCTAGCGTGAAATCGGCCTAAAAACGAGAATCGGCATCTCAAACGGCTCAAGAATAGGGGTAAAAACATGTGTAATCAATGGTCTATCACACAGCAGAGAGACAGATAAGAAATATCTTATACTTCAACATCCTCCATAGTGCTAAAACTACCTCCCTAGGTTGCATATCACCATAAAGACTGTCAATTTAAAGCATACTGAGCAGGATTTTGCAGGGAACGGTACTTGGAGCCCTCAATTCATCAAATTGGACAGTGAACTAAGCTCCAAGCACACAAACTCATCTAGCAGTCAAAGATAGATAAACACCCCCCCACACACACACACTTAAGCACGACATTGCCCTTAATGGAGCAGAGGGAAAGATAAGGGGAATGATGTTACCGGATTGAAATACTGCAGGGAGACTGGAAGTGGACCAATCAGCAGGTCTAGAGTCATCAAAACACACTGGGTGATAGAAACCATAGTTCCAAGTGGACAAACCGAAAACAAACGAAGGAAAAAACAAACCTTGGTGGGGTTGCCTCCCCACAAGCGCTTCTTTACCATCTTTTAGTTGGACGCCAGTAGGGTGGATACTTAGAGAGGTGAAGGAACAGGTGCCTCCAAGAGCAGATCCACATCGCTCTTGAGGTACAGCTTCAGATGGTGGCCATGGACACGATGGGTGTGACCACCAGCACTCATCAACTCAACCTGGCCATCCAGCAGGATGCAAGCGAGTGAATACTCGGATGGCCAAGGTGGTCGAGGCTCAGGAGGTGGGACCAGCTCATAGTGGTCTCCGGCTTTCTTGTGAGCAGGCTTAGCTACCTGCAGTTTCGGCCGCCACTCCTCCCTGATCTTTTCCTTTGGTGACAGAGTGGACAGGAGTGGCGGCGAAGGTATGGGAGGGGGATCCTGCAAAATGGGAAGCACAGAAGGATACACGACAGACTCATGCTCCTAGTGAGAAACAGCATGCAAGGGCGATGAAGCAGGGAGAGTATTAGCAATGGAAAATGTTATTCGCCCCTCGCCATCCCTCAAGACTAAGGTCCCATCATGTACATCTACGAGAGCCTTGGCGGTGGCCAGGGAAGGCCTTCCTAGTATAAGGGGCACTTATGTGTCTTCATTGATGTCCAAGACAACAAAATCCATAGGATAAAAGAATTTGCCAACCTTAACCAGAAGGTCTTCCACTATGCCCCCTGGGATGAACTATAGATCGGTCAGCTAGTTGAATACTCATCCTAGTTGCACTGGGTTCACCTAGGCCTAGTTTCTTGAACAATTTATATGGTATCACATTAATACTAGCACCTAGATCCGCCAAGGACCTCTCTACATGCAATTTACCTATAGAGCACAGGATAGTAAAACTACCTGGGTCCTTCTGCGGAAGCTTGTTCTGCAGAACAGCCGAGCACTCCTCGATGAGCTCCACACTGGCTAGCTCGCTCAGCCTCTGCTTCTTCGAGAGAAGCTCCTTCAGGAACTTCGCATACTTAGGCATCAGAGATAGTGCCTCCATGAAGGGCACTTGAACATGCAACTTCCTAAGCATGGACGAGAAGTTTCCGAACTCTGCCTCCAGTCTGTCTTTGTAAATCCTGGTGGGAAAAGGGAGTTTAGGCTTGTATTCAGCCACTACTGGTTGTGGCTTTGGAGCTTGATCCTCTGGTTCCTTTTCCATCACCAGGTCTTCTTCCGGCTCTGGGGTGATCTGGGTCACCTTCTTGGCACTCTTCTGCGGTGCATCCGCAGTCACAGTCCCACTTCGCAGTGTAATGGCATGCAACCCCTCCTTATGATTTTTGGGATTCGGTAGGGGTTGTCCAGGAAGTGTGCCAACTGGTCTGGAAGCTAGGGCATCTGCCAGGTGCCCGATCTTGGTGTCCATATCCTGCAGGAGTGCCTGCTAGTTTCTCTGGCCAGCTTCAATCTCCATGAATTTACCTGCAGCCACTTCCATGAATTGCTCCAATTTGTTGAACTTTTGGGTACTAGTGCTCGCCAAGGTAGTCACTAGATCCCTCAGTTTTGACACGGGATCGCCTGGTGCTGGGACTGATGGAGGTGTACCAGGTTGCTGGTACTGCTGCTGTGGGGGCTGTTGAAAAGCCTACCCATGTCTGGGCTGATAGAGTGGTTGTTGTTGCTGCATCTGGCCCGACCGAGGCTGGTATGACTGCCGCTGGTTTGGGAAACTAGCTGCAGGAGCCTGAAAGCCAGGTGGCTTTGGATTGTTGTTGCCACTCCGGGAGAAATTTGGATGCTGGTGCCATCCCTCATTGTAGGTATTACTGTAAGGATCGTTGCGCCTGGCATTGTTAATGAAGTTCACCTGCTCCTGGGGTGTACTAGACTCACGCATGGCCTGGCAGTCCTCCACAATATGATGGGTGCTCTCGCACCACTAACAATGCATCGCCTACTGATGTCCTACCCCTGGGATCATTCCAGAACGATCGATGGTTGAAACCAGTTTAGATACCACCTCCACCAAATCAGATGACTGGGTGGCTACAACATGCACACCCCGCCCTGGTGCTCGTCTCGATCTCTTCGCAGTTCCCCAATCATAGCCGTGCTCTGCCATCTCTTCAAAAAGTTGATTCAGCTGTGGCGGTGTTTTGGTAAGAATATTCCCACCACAGACCGAGTCAATCAGCTGCTTGTCCTCCGGGAAGAGGGCATGGTAGAAGGTCCCATCTTGAAGGCGTCAGTAAAACCATGGTTGGGACACTTGAGGAACAGACTGGTGTATCTTTCCCAAGCATCCCGGATGGTCTCATCTTCATCCTGAGCAAAGTGGGTAATTTGCTTCTGCAGGTCTGCCGTCTTGGACGGGGGATGGTAACGATTGAGGAACTTGTCCGCCAGGTTGGCAAACGTGGTGATCGAGCCTGGAGATCGAGTGTCTAGCCACTCCTTGGCCTGCCCCTCCAGAGTAAATGAGAAGTACCTCATTTGGATGGCATCGGCTGGGACCCCATTTATCTTGATTCCATCGATGAGCTCGTGGAATCGCCTCAGATGTGATCGGGGGCACTCCCCCTCTTTGCCACGGAACACCACCGAACCGCGCAGCATGGTGATGACAGAGGTGCTCACCTCAAAGTTATTCGCTGGCACATGAGGGTGTTGAATGGGCGACCTCATGTCCGTGGCCCTGGCGGTCCAGTAGTATCCCATAGTCTGCTCCTCAGGAAGAACCACATCATGGTCCTGTGGATCACCCATCTCTTCATCGTCGGCAATTTGCAGCTGTGCTAGCGCCTCCTCCGCAGCCAATCGCGTCCTTAAAGCCCGCTTGAAGTTCCTACAGGTCCGTTCAAGCTCCTGGTCTAATGGTAGTAAATCTCCCGACTGGCTACGGGTCATGCACTACCTGCACACAATCGGCAAAAGCAACCCCTGAAGGCACACAGGTGGAAGAGAGAGAATGCAATAAAGAAAAAGCTAGAGTAACAAACTTTCACGTTTCTCTAATAACCTAGAGATCCCCGGCAACGGCGCCAAAAACTTGACACGCTACGACACAACACCAAACTATGACTAAGTGTAATCGCAGTCC